CTTTGATCACCTTTGATGCTCTTCCATTTCCTTGGATCCCTTGGACTCCTTGAACCTCTTGCATCTTCTTGGATCCCCTTGAAACTCCTTGGAACCCCACGCGTCCCCCCAGAATCACCCCCCTGGCTACTTTCCAGCCTGGCTACCCCCCCTCCCGCCCCCCTCAGCCGATTTACACAAGAATTAAGGATTAGGAGAGAAAAACCCAACACGGGGCTTCTTTTTGCCCATTTATTAGGTTTTGTTCAGCTGGGGGATGCGTTTTCCATCCTGCTGCCGGGACAGCCATGGCCATTCCCGTGGGATATCGGCACTGAACCGCTCCTTATCCCCCCAGCTCCCGCCCCTCTTCTTCAAACACACCTTTTATCTACAGATCCAGGTTTGGGGTTTTTTTTTTTTTTTGTTTGTTTGTTTTTGGTTTTTTTGTTGGTTTTTTTTTTCATTCCTCCCTACCCCTCTCTTTTGAGGGGTGAAGATGCTTTTTGAATCATTTTTAAGCAGCTGCTGGCAGCAGGCATCAGGCACGGAGCAGCCGTTGCTGCTCCCGGCTCATCCCCAGGCAGCAATTTGGATTTCACCCTGGGGGAAACTGAGACAGGGGGGTCAGGGAGGGGGGAGCCCATTGGGAACAGGCCCCTCAGGGACCCGTGAGCCAAAGCCCCAGCTCCTCCAAGCCCCGATTTCCCCGACCCTGAGCAGAGGGAGGGGGCTGGGAGGGGTTTTTCCTCCCCACTTTGGGTGCTGTGGGGCAGGATCCCACCCTGGTTTCTCTCCTCTGGAGCAGCTTTTCCGCTGCTGAGCCCCAAATTGGGCTCGGGGTGGGGCTGGGCAGACCCTGCTTTGCCCTTCCCTGCTCTCCCCCAGCCAGCACGAACCCTGCCCTCACCCAGCTGCAGAAACCAGAACCAAATCCAAGTCCAAAACTCACCGTTAACACCAAGAAAAGCAATTTTTCCTCCTTTTAATAACATCCGTAGGTGCTGACACAGCAGTAACACCCCCGGGGACCTCACGGGGGGTCCCCAAACCTGCCCTGCCCCAGCAAAGGGGCTGCTCTCCCGGTTCTTACCCCACACCTGACACAGGGAAGGTGCCCCAGCCCAAAGCTGGGGGGGGTTACACCTTCCAGAGCCCCCATTCCATTGGGGAGCCCTGTCACTGCGCTCCACCTCCACCTGGAGCATCACTAAACCTTCCCACAGACGGGAGCACGGACTGGGGACAGACAGACAAACCCCGGCCTGAGGTTGGTGGCTGATAAAATCCATGTTTTCCTCCTTCGCTCCATGGGGTTCCCACCTGGAGAGGGGCCAACCCCACAGCAGCGCCAGCACCGCAGCGGGGATGCTTGTGGGGCAAGGGCCGGGAAGGATGGGGCCAACTTTTCTGTGGATTTAGGGCAAAAAATCTACCCTCAGTGGCATCCCAGGCTCCTGACCCCCTCAGCTCGGTCCCAGACCCTTCTCAGGGCAGTGGCCACTGCCTACTGCACTGTGGCTACCACCTCAGCCCCCAGGGCTCGCAGAGCTCCCTGTGGTGCATCTCCCTGCCTTCAGATCAGCCGGGCTTCTCCTTCCAGCTCAACCTGTGGGTCGCAGATGCCAGTGAAGTTGATCTCCTCATGGGGCCGGCTGCCACCGGAGGCAGAGGATGGGCACTGGAGGCCGCCCACCGCAGGGCCACGGTTCATGTAGGCCTCCAGGGACTTCAGGAGCTGCTTCGGCTTCTTTTTGGTGGAGAACTCCAGCTCTGGAGAGGAGAGAGGGAAACGCGTGAGGACAGAGCGAGGTGTGGATGGTGTCGGGGATGCAGCACGCTCCCATCTATTATTTCTGGTAAAACCCCCTTGGGAAAGGGCAAGATGGGTGTTTTGGCTTGGGATGAAAGAGCACAAAATCTCCTCACCAAAACCCCCGGCACCAGCCGGAGCTCCCCACGACGGCGGGGAGAGGGGAGGAGAGCAGCGCCCGGCAGCGACAGCTGGGCCCTGCTCTCCGAGGGAGCCATTAGTGCGGCGCAGCCGGCGGCTCCGCTGCCATCAGTCTCCTCCGGAGTAAATAACCCGGCTGGGGCACTAAGTGCTCGCTGCAGAAGCGGCTCCGCAGACACCCCACGCCACAAACAGGGCTTACGCAACCCCACGGCGAGGCACGAGCCAGCCTGGGGAGCCAGAAACGTCCCCGTTTGTCACCCGCCTCAAGCCACCCCAACACACAGCCCTCTGGACACGGCCGGCCCTTCCACGAATGCTTGGTTTTAAGATTTGAGATGCAAAACAGGGGAAAACCACCCCCCCAGGGCACTCAGATTATTGAAAGTCTCCGTGTGAAGGTTCAACAATGAACAGTTGGGGGGGAAAAGCAGAGGGAAACAAACCCTTCAGGAGGAAGCCAGAGTCAGCAACGGTCTTGTGCTGCCATTTCCAGAGGCGGTAGAGCTGCAGGAAGGCGGCCGCGTACAGGTCGTTGAGCACAGCGATGACCTGCTGACGCCGGTTGCACTCCCTGGGACAGGCAGAGAGGGCTCAGCCGCCAGGGAAGGGGGTCCAGATGGTGCCTGAGACCCCCAAACCCACCAGAATTTCACCCAGCCTGGCTCCAGATCTCACCTGGAGAGACATTCCTCCCTCAGGGCCTGGATGACAATGCGGGTGATATTCACGGACATGATGCAGAAGGGGAAATTCTGCAAGAAAGCAAGCGTTAGGGCAGCCTGGACAACATCTCCCACCCTGTTACGCCGCAGCCCCAAACCCGCAGGATCCACACAGCAGGAAAACACCACTACGGACACGGGCTTAGCTGGATGCTGGGAGTAAAGCAGAGCTTATATCCAGGCTTAAACCCAGCCATATCTGAGAGCAAAATGCCAAGTTTCAGGAGAAAGGCTCCACTCACTCCCATTAGATGAGGTGTTGGGGGATACGGTGTAGGGGAGTACTTTAGAGCAGGGTGGATGGCTGGACTGGATGATCCCAAGGGTCTGTTCCAGCCTAGATAATTCTGTGATTCTGTGATTTTCACCCCGTGCTGCCCTTCGCCCATTTCTCCAGCCCTTTTAACCTGCACAAATTCAGCTCCAACCCAGGATCCTGGGAGTAAATCCCTGATCTCCACCAGGATGCTAAAAATCTCATTCCCAGCACAAAGGCAACCCCTGGAGTTGGCTCCAACCTTTGAGCAGATCTTTGGGGACAACCTTCCTCTCCTTACCAGAGCAAAAGGGGATTAAGCAGAAAAAAAAAAAAAAATCAGGCCCTTACACACTGCAGAGATTTTCCTGCTTCCCTTTCCCTGAGCATTAGGAGTAAAAAGGCAGAAACCACCGCAGGGAGCGAGTGAAGAAGGGGGAAGGACGTGCCTGGGTTTCGTGCTGGGACAGCTTGAAAATCTCTTGAGCAAGAGGCAGCGTCTGAGCGTCCATGACGAAGTAGAGCATCTGCATCAGGCCCAGCATGCCCGTCCCACGCAGGTCCGTCCCAGGATCCACACCTGGAAGGGCAGGAACAGCCCGGTGGAGTGAGGGACAGCACAGAGCCACAGAGCCGCTCTCTGGTCACCTCCCCCTTTCTACAGGCTGTTTACACCCTGTCACCATGTTTGAAGAGCAGAGGAACCCCAGGGAATCACCTCCTGAGGGCAAGCTTTTGGGGAATTTCCCTAAGCGGAGCCCAACAGGTGCCATAACCTCCTTCACGTGGGCATTAACAAGCCCTCACTCTCCCACCCACACAGCCATTCCCACACCTTCCCTAGGGATGGGCCAGGGCAATCCCAAGCACAAATCCAGGTTGGGCAGAGAACGGATTGAGAGCAGCCCTGCTGGGAAGGACCGGGGAGTAGCGGGGTTGGAAAGCTGGAAATGAGCCAGCAACACGCTCTGGCAGCCCTGAAACCCCCTGCACCCCGGGCTGCATCCCCAGCAGCGTGGGCAGCAGGGCGAGGGGGGGGTTCTGCCCCTCTGCTCCGCTCTGGGGAGACACCCCCCACTGGTGCCTCCAGCTCTGGGGCCACCAACAGCAGAAGGACATGGAGCTGTTGGAGCGGGGCCAGAGGAGGCCATGGAGATGCTGGGAGGGCTGGAGCCCCTCTGCTGGGAGGGGGGACTGAGAGAG